GGGGGGGGGGGGGTAGAAATGCCACAAGATCAGTAGCAAGTAGCAGCTGTGGCGTTTCTCTCTTGGGAATCCCACTGCTTGAAGCCTCCCCAGTGATGTTTGTTTAACCAACAGCTTTCAAAGTAAACAGAGGCCAAGTGCTCCAAAGAAGTTGAAATATAACCCTTACAAGAATTAGGGGGCCGGAGTGCAGGCAGAAAAAGTAATTTTTTTTTTTAAGTAATAAAGCTTCCATTCCAAATAGGGGTCCACCACAATACCTAAAGGAAACTAGAATTGTCATAAAAATATAAATTAATCGAAAGGATTCATTACAATCAAGTGACCTCCAAGAAAAGCACCCTTCGTCCACACACACACACACACACACACACACACCTGTGGGGCTGGTTGTCAGTGAGGGAAGGGGCTCACTACTAACTTGATTTTGGGGAAGTGGGCGAAAACAATCGAAGGGAGGTACATTCCCTGCCCTGGAGTAGAAAAGAGTAGGCTTGGAGCTCTGCGCCGCCAACCCTGGCTTTGCCTCAGGCACCGAACTTTCCAATATCAAGATATTAACAGATGGTGGTGAGCACATGGAGGGCTGTTACTTACATAATCCAGCCACTCCGCCCGGCCGCGCGGAGCCCGGCAAGGCGTCCTCCAGGCCGCGTGCGCGCCTCCCGAGGGGTGCTGTTGCCCCCCTCCCCCGAAATAACGTGCCTTTCTCCAACCCCGCCCAGATCTTTGGGGGCCAGGGTTTGGGGAGGTCGTGCTTTCAGAAAAACTATTCGCATCGATCGGGTTGCGCTTTACCTGCTTCAGTCCACAGCAGTAACGAAGCTGGAGACCCAAGGGCAGAGGGAAGCGGAGGGGACGCTTTCGGGGAGACTCGGACGCTCTCCCTCGGGATCTGGGGGGCCCAGGGAGTGGAATGTTCGCAATTTACATCCCTCCTTCTTTGGCTCAGATTAGCAGGTCTTTCCCAGTCCCTGAAATACAAAGGCAGGCTCGGGGCCGCAACCGAGGGGGAGCGGGGTGGGGTGAGGGTGTGAGTGCGAGGGGACGCCTCTGCACGCGGGGGCGCAGTGGGCAAAGTTACGCGGAGCCGCCGGGCACCGCGACGCTCCCGAGCGTCTGCAGGGTTTCAGGCGCCGCCGGTCGCGCGCGGGGAGTCCCTTCAGGCTGTGCGGCCGCCCGCTGCCTTCGCGGCCCCCGCCGCCGCCCCCGCGGCCCGGTCCCTCCCGGTGTGCCTTGTGTACCTCCGCCCGCGTGTCGGGGGACGCGTGTGTGTGCCGAGCCTCTCCCTGACGGCGCCTCCGGCCGCCGAAACCCGTGAGGAACACGCCTGCGTGGGTTGGAAAAGTTTCGGGTTGGGAGGGAAGCCTGGGAGTCGCCTCTCCTGGGCCCCGGCGGGAGCGGGGCTGCCCGGCCGGCGGCTTCCTCCCGGTCTCCTCCTCCCTCCCGGCCCTTCCTTCCTCGCCGCGGCCCCGCGCGAGGTGTCGCGGCCTCTCGGCCCGGAGTCCGCGAGCGCGAGATGCTGCGGCGGCGGCCGGCCGCTCCGAGCAGAGGGCACGCCCCTCCGGCCGGCTCGGGCCCTCGGGGGTCCCGCTCGCCCCGCCGGGGCCCCGCGGCCCTCGCCTCCTCCGGGGCCGCCGCGGGGCCGGAGCCCTGCTCGGCGGGCCCGCGCTGGGCGCACGCCGGGCGCAGAGGGCAGCCACCTGCTCCCCGCGCCGCGCGGGGCAGGAACCGTCGGACGCAGCCGGGCCGGAGCTGCCCCGCGGCCCAACCCCCGCCCCTCCCGCCGCCCGCCTGTTGCTGCGGGGGCCGTTCCGGCGGCGGCGCGCCCGCACCCGGGGACGCGCTCCACCTGGGTCTGGGGGGGGGTGTCTCCGGGGACCCAAGGAGGGGTGGGGGCTTTTGAAGGGATGGAAACCTCCCCTCCTGTCCACTCCCTTTCTTTTGTCAATTCATCTAAGGATATCTGGCCGTTACTCCAGCTTTTTTCTTTGGTCTTTCGACTCCAGGGTGTGAATTCCCAGGAGGTGCTTGATTTTTGGTGGGTTTGGGGGATTTGGGGTGATAAGATTTAAGTTATCCTTCCTGTCCATCTTACTGGGCCTCTAGGCAGGAGCGGGTAGAGATAGATAGGTGTAGGCCAGGCACAGAGAAGGAAGCTCCCAGTTTGGATTTATTTGAGGGAAGAGAGAGAAACTCTGGAAAGTTGCATTTTGTTTAAATTAGAGCAAGACAAAGTTGAAAGCCAGATTTCTCTAATTTTTCTGGTGATATTTCTTTTATGAAGTATCTAAGTGTCTGTTTGTCATCATTTTAAGATCAAAAGGAAAATCCATATGCTGCAGAGTTTTTCAAAATTGCTATTTAAATATGTTTTAAATGTTTTATCCAACGTAGAGATGGCTGCTCAGAGGCAAGACCGGTGACAGGGATAGCGGGTTGGTTTGATGTGGAGCAGCGGTTCCCAAGAGTGGAAAGTAATCAAGTATCACCAAGGGAGCTTTTCAAAAAACAAAGATTTCTGGGCCCATCCGGGCTAGGCAATCAGTGGGAGGACCTGGGCATCTGGGGGGTCATGCTGTGTTTCCAATTACTGCTCAGTTACTGATTCTGCAACCTTAGGTGTGTTACTTAATCTATCTGAGCCTCAGTTCTTTTCATCTGTTAAGTGGGGATAATATCCAGCTTACAGAGTTATAGAGAGTAAAATTGTTCAGCATATGACTGGTGCTAAGGGAACCTATTTTCTCTACAAGTGTGTGCTCTGCACACGCGCACTGATCTCACTGATCTATTCTCCTTTTATACAGGACTCCCCCCCCCCCCCAATATTTTGATGAAGCTAACTGGAGGGTCATTTGATAGGTACACATAGGCACATTTTAGCATATGCTTAGCTGCAACTTTGAGCCATTTCTGTGCACACCTCTCACCTTTTAGGGCATAAACAGTAGAATTAGTGCATGTTTGGAAGCTAGGCTCTCTGCTCTTGGACTTAGACCTGTCCATCCTGGCAGACGGGAATCATTCAGTGATCTGAAGTCTGCTCCTCTCACCTTCCCTGCTTTATAGATAGCAGATGTTTCCTACGGAAGCTGCCCATCAGACCAATGAAACCACAAGACAAAAAGTTCTCTTCAAGAAGGGAACAACAAGAAGGAAAAAAAGGTCAACAATCCTAGGTAAAAAAAAAAAAAGACAAATGTGTATCATCTATGGTGTGTTTTTACATGTCTGATGAACAATTCCCCCAAATCTGTGTAAGGTAAACTACAACCCTTCCTGAAATTATTTTCAAACCAATGAACACAAGCACACCCCAACATCCTTACGAGGGGGCCCAGCCAAAGATTGCTGCAATAAGGCAAAGAAAGATAGGCAGGAAGATGTCAGCCCAGGCTGTGTTTCTGCAGTCGTGTGAGAGGAAGAAAGCCAGAGAAGGGGAATGAGGTGAATGAGCAGAGAAACATCAAGAAGGGTGACAGTTTTAGAACTGGAGAAGGCTGTGAGTAGCTAATTATACATCCCCAAAAAGGTATTTGCTGGTACCCTCCTCCAAAAGCTTGAGATAAGTAATCAGGGTGTTTCCTGGGCCGGGATAAGGGACAGATGGCCAGCTTGGGGCATCTGTGGGCCCAGTCCCTAGTGAATGACCCCAGGGGTTGGGAGGATGCACTCTCTAAAAGACAGGGAGTTCAAGCATCACCCCTAGATGCCTGTCTTCCTAAGGTTTGTGGATATCTCTGGGCAAATGTGGAAGATTCGTGCTCTCTAGACCTCAGGGAAATGGCTGTGACTCTAGGGGACAGAACAAAGAACCTCAAGACAAACACAGAGAAACACATCTGGGGCCAAGCTGCAGGGAGGCAGGTGACACTGACTTCTTACTCCCTGGGTAGAAGGAGTCCTTTGGCCTGCACTTGAGATTCTGGTGGAGAGGTGGGGGGAGGAGGGGGCAAGGGGCAGAGGCTGAGGGGGTATATGTGGGGTGATGGTCAGAGTTTGGAAGGGTGGGTGGGAGAAAGTGAGGGTGGGAGGGGGGTGGTCGGGGGTGAGGAGAGAAGGTAGGTGTATGCACTGCAGAGCCCAAGTTGGAGAGGTCCTGGGGTTCAAGAGAGTGGAGTTAAGGGGAGAGAGCAGCCCGTGGAGGGGGGTGCCTGAGACTGGAAAGAGGTAAGGAGCACCAGTTCCCCTGCAAGGCAGCTCACTGAGGCCTGAATGGTGCATGGAAGTGTGTCTGGAGGGCTGAAGGGAGGCAGCAGAAGAGGTCTGGAGGCCAAGTGTGACCTTTGCTCAAGGGAGGATGAAAGGTACAGCGACTAGGCTTCCTCAGGTCCTCACTAGTCCACTGAGACTTAAGAACCCCCTGGCTGGCTTGCCAGGGAAGCCCTGGGACCCACTTCAAGGCTGACTCAGGCCGGGTACTGCACCCTGGGGCCTCCCTCTGGGGGTGTGGCAGCTGGCAGGTGCACAGTGGGGGGCACCCTGCTCCCTTTTCCCTCTGTAGGTACAGCCCTTTGCCCCCAGCAGGGCCTCCCTTCCTGGGCCTCCATTCCTACTATAGGCCTAGTATTGCTCCCCCACCCCAGGTTCCCCTGGGCCTTCTCCTCCCCCGCCCCAGATAAAGCACTCTCATCTCTGCATCTCCTCCTCCGTGCTAATCTGGTGGTGGTGCCTGGGGGAGCGCACAGAGGGCAGGAGGGGGTGCATAACCCAAAGTGGACTCCGAGAAAATGGAATAGCACAATTCAACAGACAGCTGATGTTCACAACGCCGTGCTAAGGACGGCAGTTGGTGACCCCGTCCGTTGAGGGAGCAGAGTTTGGGGTTTGGGGTGTTAATCAACATGGGTGGATAGTTCTATGTTTGAATTAGTTCGGTTTCTGAAATTTAGGAGCACGACTCCAGAAGATTCTGGATGAGGGGCAAAAGTGTCCACACCTCCTCCTCTCTGTATCCCATGGTGTTTGAGTGAGAATTCAGAAAGAGGCAAATAGACGTAGTAATAATCAATGATGGATAATTCAGCATTTCTAGAGCACTTCCAGTGTTATAACTGGGCCAGAGTCTCTACACCATACTGCCATTTTTAAATTCTAAAATCCCGTCGGTGGTGAGACACACTCTCAATTTAAAGATGGCCTTTGAGAGAAAAAATAAAACACGATGACCTGAAATGTACCAGGGATTGTAAGACACACTGATTTCAGGAACATAATACAGTAAGAAAAAGTGAAACTTAGAAGGGAAGAAACAAAGTATATTAAGTGTAGTTCTCTCAAGGGCCCTGCTAAGAATTATCCCCACTGTACGGATGAATAGACTGAGGCTGGGGAAGTTTTCACCACTTGCTCAAGGCCACAAAGTCGGCAATTTGCAGTCAGAAGTAGCACCCAGGTTTGCCTGCGGTCAGAGCTGGAACAGTTTCTCCCAGGGCACATAACCTCGGCAAGACTGGGCTTTGTCAGCTTTTTCTAGCCCCAGTTCCACATCTCAACCCTTTTACCATCAACGCCCCCTCCCCCACCCTCTAAGCTATGGAGATTTCCATGAGGAGCAAGTAATTCATTGGGGAGAAAAGGTACAAAATAGTCAAATGACATTCTTCAGATTCAAATAGAGTCTTTAAAAGGGTAAAAACCATGCATGCCAGGTTTTGCCTTGCACTGCAGGAAGTCGATGAATTCAAGGATCCCTGTATTGCTGAAAATAGAATTGTAAAAAATAAAAGGGGTGGGGGGAGAAAGTGAACGAAACTAATCCTATTAAACGTGGTAGCATGTTTTTGTGGCACGCAGGGAGAGATTAAGCACAGGAAAGGGGATAAGTACTGCTTCAGTTTCACTAAACTAATGTGACAACTTGTCATTGGAAATCTTTGCAGCTTGTTAGTAGATGACTAGCTGATTCAGAAGTGTTTTCTATCATTCCCTTTGTGTCTCCCGTGAGGTTTTTTTTTTTTTTTTAATTTTCTTTCTTTTCCTGTTTCTTTCTTACCCACGCTGCTCTATTTTGCTTTTTAATCCTTCGTGTCTCCTTCAAGTCAAAACATTTAGCTTGCTCTAATCAAGATTTGGTTTTGAAGATGCCCTTTGACCTCCAGGGGCCCAGAGAAGCCCCTGAGGGGACTGCCCTCCATCCCCAGCCCAGGGTAGGTCAGTCTTGTGGGTGGAAAATGCAGGCTTCCGGGGCAACACTCTCATTTCGAAGATTTTATTTTTCAACCGTCCTCCCCCTCTCCACTTTCTCCTTTAGTTCTTGTTTTAACCTTTTATCCTCTCTCGTTTGCCTTTCATTTCCAGGCTTCTGATTTTTTCTTTCTTTTTCTTTCCTTTTCTCTGCTCTTTGCTAACTTTCTTCCCTCACCTGCTTGCTTTCTCCATCTGCTCTTTTATCCCTTTCTTAGGATTTCTTTTCCCTTTTCAACACACCCCAATAACTCTCTTATTCGAGAGATCGAATCAAACAGATAAGACTGTAGGGTTCATAGAGGAAAGTTGTGAATCCTTCACCGTGGTTTCCACATCGAAGTAACTGCTGCTCGAGGGGGCAGTGTCCTGGGGATGAGGGTATCCAGGGCCCATCCCAGATGGGGAACAAAAGGCTGATCTCAATCGAAAGGAAGCAAGAATTTTAGGCTCGGTCACTGCCTTTCCAAAGCAGGTGTTTAGCATGTTTGGAAATGCGGCTGACCCGCCCTCTCTCTCTTGCTTTGGCATGGCTCTTTCCCACCTTCCTCCTCCCTCCCCCGCTCCAACTTTCCCCACTGGCTTACCACCAGAGGCGAGATGTTGAGTCAATGGAAAAACAACATTCGCCAACATTAAAGGGAGACTGTTTGGAAAAGGAAGGCCCTGCTGAGGTGCAGAGGAAGTCTGTGCATTAACACGGGCCACCTCTTATCTGGGGCAGCTGGGCCTGAGCTGCCTGGGCTGATCCCTGGGCTTTGCCAAGAGGCCTTCAGCAGAGAGGACAGGCCGCCTTGCAGGCTGGGGGGCTGATCCTCATCCAGGACCCGAGCATCCCAGCATTTTAGAGACAAAAAGGCCTTGCTTTTCTCCCAGAGGCTTCATGGGGAAACCTGCCCCAATAAGCAAAGTCTTGCAAAAAATAATAATAATAATAAAATAAAAGGCAGCAGTTCTCGGGGTTTTGGTCCCTGGACTTAGACCCAGGCCCTCTCGTTTCCAGTCCTTTCCAAGACTCCCAAGCACTGTAAGGACTGGCCATTCTGATCTGAATGTGATTTATGGGGAAAAACAAGCTAAAGTGACCCAAAGGAGAATTAAGAAAGAAACAACAACAAACATACAAAAACACGTGGGTAAGTGGGTAAGGGCGCACTGGCTCTAAATTGCTTACCGTTAAGTCTTGAGCCAGGTCCCGATGGAAAGATAAGGGCAATCCTTAATCAGTCAATAATTAACCGAAGCTCCATTAATGGTCCAGTCAACCAAATCCTGCTGACACCTTCAGAACCCTGTTTCAGTGGGAGGGTTAGGTGGAAGCTTTTGACAGACCCTGCTCATGGATCACACCAAGAGGGGTAAAGTTATGCCTGGACCTGCCGGAGAAATCTTTTGGTTAATTTCTGAAGATTTCACTTTTCACTCCCCCCATCTCTCCACCAGGATCTCAAGCACAGGCCACAGTGCTCCTTCTGTGTTGTGCATAAAACAGTCTGGAGATCCATTCTGGTTCCAGGTCAATTTGAAGCAAATCCCAGATGTGATCTGCTCGTGGCTACCCCAGTTTTCCTAGAGGACCATATCTTTTCTTCCCTGCTTTGCTCATCATAGTAATTTGCTCATTTTTGTAGTTTATTCCCAGTGTCTGTAGGTATTTCTATTCTTAGTTTCTCAATGTCCACATCTCTTCAATTTGTGATAAAAGCAGAAATGCTTCTGAAGTGATCAGCAACCAGATAGCCCTACCAAAGCATGAAAATAATTTTTGAGTTTTAAATAAGTAGACGATGAAAAGACTAATAAATATCGATTTTTGTCTTTCTGGTAGATCATGTTCTTTTCACTTCCGACAGACACAGATTTTAGGAGAGGCTTAAGTCGTAAATGTTTTTTTTTTTTTTTTTTATTTTTTATTTTTTTTTTTACTCTTAAAAAAAAAGAAAAGAAAGGGAGGAAAGGGGGGGGGGGGGGGGGGGGGGGGGTGCGGGTGGAC